TTAAATAATAATAATAATAATAATAATAGGTCTATTCCTGTACTGGTAGTCCATTTTTGTGATTACTCTTTTTGTATTCGAATATGTCCTGTCCTCCTGCATCTTTTTGTATTCGAATATGTCCTGGCATCCTCCATCGTACTGCTTATTTCTGTCCGTCACTCAGTTTCTGCGTCGGCTTTCAATATTTTTGCTTTGGTTTTTACAATCCTTTTTGCTTCGGTCTTCATTGCGTTGGCCATTTATCTTTTTTTTTTTTTTCTTTTTTTTCTCTCATTACCCTTGGTCTCTTTTGACCCGGTGATGGGGTTCTTACCTCATGTCATGACAACGTGAGTGAAATAAAGCCAACTCCATAATAATAATAATAATAATAATAATAATAATAATAATAGCACATTTCACGTAGTAGAGCACTAAATAAAGAAATTCAGTGTTTTTTCCGCTTCTGTCTTGTGAGCATCATCAGCTAGGTGTAGTAGCTGCTGATACCGATTTCTCCCCGGGTGTCGAGCTGCACAGTTTCCTCCAGTCTGTCTTGTCTGCTGCTTGTTGTGGGCACCTGGAAAGGTCTTCCATGGTCTTCATTGGCACACCCAGCTTATTCAGCTGAGCGACAAGACTTGTGGCCAGTGTCAACCTTGGCCGTCCACGAGGTGCTTTGTTGCCCTTGTCAAAATAGCCGCTCATGGCTACTTGCGGTGGCGTGTCCGTGTCCATCCGTAGCACATGACCGGTCATTCGTAGTCGCCTACATGCAACTGTGTCTGATATAGGGTTGCTCTTGGTTCTGCGGTATAGGTCGTCGTTTGAAATTGTGTCTGGGTATCGTATTCCAAGGAGTGATCGCATTTGACGCCGTTGGAATGCGTCTGCCTTGGCCATTGCTGTTGACGATAATCCCCAGGTCTCGCAATTGTACAGGAATGTCGGCAGTACGATAGCGTTGTACAGGCGTAAGCGTGTCTTCTCCGCTACTTTATCTCTACGCAGCCATAGGGCGTACAGCTGGCGCGCGAGAGGCAAGTTCCATCCTACGCCGAACATCCTCTTCCTCCCCCATCAAGGAGCCAAGCTGCCTAGATGTCCGCCAGCTCTCGGATTCAGGTGACACACGGATCCACTCTGTTTTATCTGGATTTACTTTTAATGACCAATCGTGCAGTGTGTCTGCTATTACAGGCAGAGCATTCTCAAGCCACAGCCTGCAGGTTGAATAATAGGAGATGTCATCTGCATAACCCGTCTCTGGTGGTAGACTTGCGTCGCCAGCAGGGCGGGGCGCGAGACGAGTTCTGCATTCCTGTAGTGCAGCCTCCAGATAGCAGATGAAGAGAACTGGGCTGAGACTGTCGCCTTGTGGTGTTCCAATAGTGCTCTCAAACGGTTCAGCTGTGGCACTTGCAACCTTAACAGTGATAGTTGTGTTGTGGAGTAGGTGGTGGATGAGACATGTGCAATCTGGATTGGTGATTGCAGACATCACCTCCAGCAGCTTCAGGCGGTTAATCTTATCGAAGGCCTTGGACATGTCCAGGCCTAGAATGTGAAATTGCTGTCGGTAACGAATGGCTCTTGCAGCGATCCACCGCTGGGTCCATACCACGTCCGCTGTACTACGGCCCGGGCGGAAGCCGGACTGTGTAGTACCAAGATGACGAGAGAGTGCCCCGGATTCCGTGATGCGCCGAAGCACAATGATCGATATCACTTTGCGGATAGAGTTTAATAAAGTGATGGGCGGCAGACTGGTAACAGGACCCTTGGGCTTGTTAGGCTTAGCGAGAGGTATGAGTATTCCTGGTCCAATAGCCGTCGATAAATTGGCACCCTGCGAGAGCGCAGCGTTGACGAAATTTGCTATGACCGGCGCTAGCACCTCGGATCCATATTTCAGGAGCTCTGCTGGGATTTTATCTGGACCACAGGCCTTCCCGGTTCGCAGGCGCTTGAGGGCAGTGGCGACTTCAGATTCGGAGATGGGAGTGGCGAGGGAGTATGGTGATGGCGGTGGTATTTCACCTGCTGTTTTGGCACTGAATTGTGAGGAGAAGTGATCTCGAACTCGACTGGCCTTGTCTGTGGCATGAGCAAGAATACGTCCATCAGCTCGCTCGACAATCAATGGTGATCGTTGTCCACTACCACTCTTTAGCTGCGCTGCTGCAGTAAACATCTGAGCAGATGTAGGTGCCTTTTCAACCCGCTCTGCAATCCTATCCAGGCGTTCCATGGCATCGCTGCGCTGAATATTTCTGATCTGGTGCATGATGCAGTTCCGTTCCCTCTTTAGCTCTTCTGGATTGTGATGGCCTGATTGCTGAAGTAATCTGATTTCCCGTTGGCGCCGTGAGAGGGTTTCAACCTCTGGATTAGGTACACAAACCCTGCGTGAACCGCTTCTGTGCATGCGTCCAAGAGTGCTCTCTGCCACGTCGATGACCGCTTGCGCTGTTGAGTCCCAGGTACTGATAACGGAGCCACTGTCAGATGACCCACAAAATGCAGATTGTTCACGCAGTATCTGGCAGAGGCTGGACTGATATTCCTTACGGACGTCAGCGTTTTCTAGTCTCTGGATTGCGATGGGAGCAGCGGCCTTGCCTGCTGCGGCAATGTGTACACGGTATAGACCAGTCAGTTCCATGTCCGCAATGACTATGTTATGATCGCTGAATGTCTCGGTTCCAGCATACGAACGAGCTCTCACAACTAGTGGCTTGTAGCGCTTTGGGATCACGATGTAGTCAATCATGTTGTGGATCATTTTCCTGAGGCCATCAGGGGATGCCATGCATCCAGTCCATGTGGTTCTATAGCGCATTGAGTAGCGGAAGAGCGTATTAGCCAACACCAGATGATGCATGTTAGCCCACTCTACCAGCGCTTGACCATTGTCATTTCTTACACCTTTGCCATATTGACCCACACACGCTGCTTCACCTGCTCCGACCTTGCTGTTAAAATCACCAAGCCCAATCACGAGTGTTCTTCCACTGCACTTGTTCCAGGCTGTGGACAAGGCGTCATAGAACCTTTCACGAACCTCAGGATTACTCTGCGCTGCTGGGTTTGTGGGGCCATATGCCACGACGAAACGAACAGGTAAGGTATTGCCCTTGCCTTGCGGAATGGAGAGGTCAACAGTTCCGACTCGGTCGGAAATGTTTTTTTATGTAATCTCTATGTAATCATAACTCATATTCTGAAGATCAGTTCCTTATTTTCCTGCAGTTGCTTCGGGAAGCACCAGAGGGATCGAGCTACATTGTAAACCAGATAGAGCCCGTGGTTAGCATATTATCCAAAATAAGCCTTTTTATTGACAAGGGTGTGAATGATCGTAGCGGACTATATGGACATGGGTGCATGACGTTAGTAGAATTAGAATTCATTATGGAAGTGAAAGAAAATGTTCGGAAGATAATTCTCCATTATGTAACAACGTCCCAAATTGAATCGTACAATGCTGTAAATTTATATTGAAAGCTTGCTTGAAATCCCGTGAATTTTCTGAAATCCTGCGAAAATTGTACATGTCTCTATTTGAATGTAATTGATTTAAAAAATGGTTTGCTTTTGAATTTGTTTTTTTTCCACATGCATTTCCTGGTTTCTTATACTGTGTCTGTTGTGTTAAGTCCCTCCTCCTGTACCTCCTACAAACTTTTCCAAGCTGGCCTGCATGCACCCTCGTACTCACCTTTTGTCCCGTGTTGTCACCTTTTGTTCCATTGTCCTGGGTGGCTACTTCGTCGCCCATATTTGCCATAGCCACCGGGGGGCCAGGCCCTTTATCTTGCCAGTATTCAGCCGTTACTCGATCTCGATCTCTTCCACAATATGGTCATTCGTTTTTGTCTCCGTCTCTTCGTCTATTATAAAATAAATGCCTTTCCAACTACCTTTTCTCGTTGTCCATTGTGTCTGGCGTGCATAACTCGTCTTCGTAGTCAACAGCTGTATTGCATTTCAATCCTCTGTTGTAATGTTTTTTTTTCCCATAGAAGAGGCTTTCATTCAAAAAGTGGTGGATATCAAGCAACTGCATTGTAAAATTCACGAGAGAGCCTGGAAGCTCAGGGCCCTACGCTATGCTTTTTCTGCCTAGCGCGAGTCAACTTTCTCTTTGCATTCGATGGTAACACGACACCGTCTAGCACCTTGATGACCTAGGCATAAAAAGCATACTGATGTTATATATTTTTCATTTCTCCTATAAATTTAACAAAAAAGACAATAACCTAGGATTCAAACAATTTCCAAAAGGGTATATTGTAAGACGGCTTTTGCTCAACGCGAGCGCATCTTGGGTTCTCTTAGACTCAAACTGTAACTTATCATTAGACAACGTAAAGCAAAACCAAAAAAACAGAAAACGACACGAGGAGACAAGTTCCAGGAAAAAGGGCTAGATAACCATGTATCGTACGTGAAAACCATGGGAACGTCGTAGACGTGCCATGGCGCAAAAGGTAAGTAAAATACTTTAGAAAACACGATAGAAAGAAGAAAGAAGACTGTATAATCAATTGCTTGTATGCTTGTATGTATGCTTGGTGCGAACCATTAGTTTGTGACAATACTCTTTTTCATGCAATCTCTAACAAGCATGCAATATCTAACAAGCATGTATTATCTAACAAGCATGCACTATCTGACAAGCATGCAATATTCCACGCTCCCTCCAGATGAGAGCTTAGAAATTAGTGTACTACATGTACATGTACCTGACTCGTTCCTACAAAAGCGTGATGCTACTAGAGTACAGAGCATGGTGCAACGTGATGTTCTCATCGAACACAGAATAATGCTGCTGCAGTTCTATAAGGAGCCGGCATTAATCAGTTGCTGTGTGGCTTTATCAGCTGACCGGGCAGCATCTCTCTTCGGACGCATGGCGCCGGGGTGCGCACCGGATTGCTGGCTAGCAGAGGCTGGGTCTGCAACAACTCCCTGAGGCTGTTTGCCGAGAACATCGGCGACTGGTGCAGGGCTCGCTACCTCCACGGGGTATAGTCGGTGTACCGGGCGACGCATGGTGGATGCTCGTCCTCCGCGGGAAGAGCATTTATCACCGCTCCTCGGACCTTGTTATCTTTGCCTTGTATGAGGTCTTCGACTAACGCTAGTCTCCACAGGCCACGCTTCTCATTGTCGTCGTGCACGACTACTACATCACCGACGCACACTGTTGCTCCTTGGTCGTGCTGATTGCCTCGCCTGTGAGCGTTTCGGAGTTCGAGGAGATACTCGCTTCTCCATCTGCACCAGAAATGCTCCAGGAGTGTGTTGAGGTGGGTGAGTCGATGTAGAAGCTCATCTCGTTTAATTGACGCGACATCGACGTCATCAGGACAAACTGTCGGAAATGACAGGACGCACCGACCATACAGTAGATGGGACGGTGCTAACGGCTCCTCGACATCTTCAGTTGACACAAATGTCAGAGGGCGACTGTTGAGGACTGCTTCAACCTCGAGCAAGAAGGTGAGCAGTCCTTCGTACGTGACGCGTAACTGGCCGAGAATCTTCCTCAAGCAGCGTTTTACACATCGGACCATACGTTCATAAAATCCACCCCACCATGGAGCCTTCTCCAAGTTGAACGACCATTCCATACCGTGTGCTGTTAGATAGTCGGTGACTTCGGGCAGACCGAACAAACCCACTAGTGACTTAGCCACTGACTTAAAGGTCTTGGCGTTGTCAGAGGTAACGTGCCGAGGGATGCCAAATCGTGCCGTAAACTGCTTGAAACAACGGAGGAACGTTTCCGCTGATAGGTCAGGCACAAGGTCTAGATGGAGCGCTCGGCTGACGGCGCAGGTGAAGAGAGCGATATACACCTTCTTGGTGTCTGCTCCTTCTCTGACGAACAGTGGCCCTGCGAAAATTGTGCGTTTTTCGTACATGTACTTGAAAGTGGCCATAATTCCCACAAAATACATGAGTATCCCCATACCAAGGTGTCCATGCATGCTAGAAATCAACAAAGAAAGAGAAAACATTTCATCTTCTATTCACTACAACTTCTTTTGTAAAAAGATATTTCATTGCTAAATTTTGTTCGAGTTACCTTTCAAAATTATTGAATCTCAGGGGGTGGTTGACGTTTTTGGTGCTCCTCGGAACAGCTTTCCGGGAGCCCCCCGCAGCAGTTTTACCCTTCTACCTTTGTCCTTGCTGAAACTAAGAATGTCCCTTGACCAGAACCTTGATCTTGCCCTGATCGGGTACCAGGAACTAATCGCCATCGCTGAACGCAAGTCCCTGGACTCCCCTTCGAGCCTCGCCCGGCCAGAGCTGGTGCAGGCACTGCGGAAGCAAGGCGATAGAGGGAAGCCCGTCACTGACACCGGTACGTCGTGGATTAATGACTCTAAGCTAGATAGCCTTGCTAACACTATCCAGGCCTTGGTGGGGGAGATTGCCTCCATGAGGGAGGACAGGGATAGCATAATTTTGTCCTTGAAGCTGGAAATTTCGGAGCTGAAGGGGGAAGTGCAACAGCTTCACCAGCAGCAGTACAATGGTTTATCCAAGCCCGTACACTGCGACACTCCAGACATGCAATCCCGTTGTACTCGTACAGTGAGTACGAATAGCACACAGCCAGAAGAGGATGCACGCACTCTACACAGCAGGTCAACTAGCACTAGCAGGGCCACCGTACCTAGCACCAACCACATGGAACGCAGGAACATACCCGTACACACTGGTAGAAATGCAACAACTGGGGGCGCACTTACAACAGCAGGCGCCGGTGGTGCACCTGTACAGCCCACATGTACTCAGGGTGCTGCTGGGAGCACAGAAGGCGATCCCCATCAGAACAACTGGCAAGAACAGCGGCGAAGGAGCAATAAATCAGCGGCCCACAGCGATCCCATTGCCCGGGCAACAAAATCCAAAGTTGTGTCTGTCTACAGAAAAATGGCCACAGAAAACCCCAACCCCAACACACTCACTGGCACACATCTTCCCAAGCGATGTGCCTTCTTTGTCGGGAATGTTAGCCCTGGAAGTAAGGCACAGTCCATTGTCACCTGGTGCGCTGATAGGGGCGTTGATGTATATGCATGCACAATTGCCGAAACCCAATACTTTGGTACCTGCTATGCACGCGTTTCTGTCGCGGAAGAGTTTGAGCAAACGCTGCTTGACAAGGAATTCTGGTCCGACACCATTGCGCACACCGTCCGCAAATGGCGCTATGCCGACTCCGCTAGCAAGTGATGGGTCCTCGGTCACCTAGCCAACAGCTAAATCCTCTTGCCCAACCCTTTGTGCCCCACGCAAGTTCATCACACCCTTCCCCTCATTGCGTTACATATTCTTCTATATCTAGTGGTCATATTCCACTTGCACCACCATTCCTTCCTGATTCTGGGCGACAAACTACTAAAACTCCTAATCAACAGCAGCGTGGCCATTCTCATACGTGATGGGACATTTCCACATTGCACCCGTCGCCATGACCTTGATTCTCCCCAAAGCGAGGCCTTATGGCTTGAGCTTGGTGCACCAGCAGGTCTCCGGGCCAATCCGCTACTCATTTGCTGTCATTACCGCCCCCCTTCACAATCCCTTCTTGATATCACCTCCTTTTGCGACATACTTACCGACACGCTGTGTTCCTTGGACCTCTCTTTATTTGATGTTTTTCTTACCGGTGACTACAATGCCCACAATTCTGACTGGTGGAGTGGTGACACCACATCGCGTGCTGGTACGGAGCTATCACACGTGTTCTCTAGCTTTGGCCTCCAGCAGCTTGTCAATTTCCCCACCCGTGTCGCTCCGAATGGAAGACTGTCCTGTCTGGACTTGCTTGCTACGAACCGCCCCCTCTCTGTACGCTCTGTTGACGATGCTGCCCCGCTTGCTGCATCGGATCATTTGCAAGTCATTACAACGCTAGCCTACAACATTGCCACTGCTAACACCTCTTACAACTGCTCTCAGACTCCTACCCCTCCGCGACATGCCTTCCGCAAGGTTACACCCTCCACTTGGTCAATCATCAACTCTGCACTTTTTGCCTGTGACTGGCATCTTTTATTTACCTCCACTACTGTTGATGAAGCTGTGGAGAAGTTCACCACAGTTCTTGATGACGTGCTCTCCTTCTATGTGCCACAATACGGAGCAAGACCCGCTATACCCAAACATGACAGCCACCACCCTCGTCAGTCCAGCCGTAACCCCAAGATCCCTTGGCTCGACAAAGATCTCCAAGGTGCAATTAAACTCAAATACGACTACTCTAGCTTAAGTAAGAAGTACTCCACCTATGCTAATATTTCTTTATACAAAAAAACAGCGCAATCTGGTGAAGTCATTGTCACGTTCTAAGTATCGAGCATATTTACGTTCGCTCACTACCACCCTATCTCACCCCTCTTCCAGGCCTAACCTGTATACCTTTGTTCGCACTCAAAGGACAACTAGTACACGTCAAGACATACCACCGTTATTAGCTTCCAATGGTTCGATGGTGACTGACCCCAAGTCTATAGCTAATACTCTCAATACGCAATTCACATCAGCTGGTATTCCAGACGACCATTCCTCTCCAATACCACCTCTGCAACGTTCTGCGACTGTGTCTTCTGATCTGCGCTCTATACACACCACCACATCATCTGTTCGCAGCAACCTAAAAAGACTAAAAAGCAACAAAAGCCCTGGTCCTGATGCCCTACCAAATGAAGTTCTCAAAGTTCTGGCTCCATCTCTGGCGTACCCACTGTGCCTTATATTCAACCTTTCCTACTCCTCCGGCATATTTCCTGATCGTTGGAAGATCGCTAAGGTCACGCCCATCTACAAGTGTAAAGGCTCCTGATCACAAGCCTCAAACTATCGTCCAATATCTCTTCTCTGCTTCCTTTCAAAAGTATGTGAAAAGGTATTTTACGACCAGTTGTATTGCCACATTTCACCATGCCTTAGCCGTTCCCAATCTGGCTTTCGGCGCAACGACTCAACCTCTGACCAACTAGCTCGTCTAGTACAAGACATTGCCACCCTTCGTGATGCTCGACACCATATTGCTCTCTGTTTCTTTGACTTGGCAAAGGCCTTTGATACTGTCTGGCATCGTGGCCTCCTTGCCAAGCTACATATTGTCTTTGGTGTGTCTGGCCCTGCTCTGTCCTGGCTGGAGTCCTATCTGAGTAGCCGATCACAGTTTGTTTCTGCCCTCTCCATCAACTCTGATCCTCTACCAGTGTCTTCTGGAGTTCCCCAAGGCTCCATACTTGGACCTCTTTTGTTCGTAGCATACGTAAATGATTTACCCTCTATAGACCCAGGTGTCTCGTTATTTGCTGATGATACAACCCTACTGTCAGCATCCTCGTCCTCAGCGGCTCTTGTACCTCGAGTGTCGGCTCAGACATGCAGTGTCCTACGCTGGATGCAAACATGGCGACTTAGACCCAACCTGACTAAAACCGAAATAATGTTCCTTCCCCCAATCTCATCCATGTCACTTTTACACCATCCTGATTTCCCAGAACCCATAAAGGTTGTTTCCAACCATAAACACCTGGGAATAATGCTTGATGATCGTCTCTCTTGGTCTTTCCATATTGATGCTCTTTGCAGCCGTTCAAGCTCTGCCCTAGGTGTTATACGTCCCCATTGTTTCCATCTTCCTTTCAAATGTAAAATTTTGTTTTACAAACTGTACATCCTGCCTCTTTTCATGTACGCTGCTGTTAGCTGGTGTGGCTTGTCCTCGGTTCTCGCTGAGCATCTCGAAATCCACCATAGAAAACTTCTTCGTATCCTGTTTAGTCTACCCCCTCTCTACCCTTCTGCTTCCCTGTATATCCTTGCAAATGCTTGCCCACTGTCGACCCACCGTCAAAAATTAACTTGCACTTTTGCTCACAAATTTAAACTAGCTCTACATCCTCCTCATCTTAACGTGTATAACTGGTTCCGAATCACAGATGGCTCCCAGACAAGATGCTCTGTTGCCCTCCCCTTGGCTAAAACGTCCTTCCTTGTACGCTCTCCACTCTTTGTTGCTTACTCTGCTTGGCTTGCGCTGCCCGCTACTACGCGCAATGCCAGTACCCTGGACGCATTTAAATCTGCTCACTAGATTCACCATCACCTGTCCCTCCCATGCTTCTCCGTCTTGACCATTACTTTTCTTCTTTTATTCACCATGGTTGGTTAACACCCACATCTCCCGTACTGGCTGATTTTCTTCTCATGCCATGAGGTGTTGTCTATAATAATAATCATGTTCAACTGACTGTCTTCGTAATCGTCATACTCGTCCAACTCGTCCAACCGATGTCAACCTCACCCTGCGAATAATCAGCTCATCTTTTTCGTAGCTCCACCTCTCTTTCCATCATCATCGAACGTCAACAATACCTCACTTGATATTTTTAAATGATTAGAGAAATATACATAGCCTGCACAGCCACGGCTGCTAAAATCCCGAAGTCACGACTTCGTAACATGAATAATGTACATGTACGCAGAGTCCGTTTGCGGACTACCCATCAGGCATCACTATCTCGTCCATCTCGGGATACCTCATAAAACCCTGCTTTTCACTGAAAACTATATCTGCATGACCTCCAAACCCTTTACCAAACAGATCACTAGCGCTGATCAGGTGTATTGTATACAATTCTGTAGCCTACATACTAGAACTTTGGTACAATCATGTGTTATGCTCCTACCTCCGAAAGGATGCCAAAATATGCTCCAAATTTTCAACGACCCAATTATGCCAATAATTATGCCGGCATAACTAAATAACTTCTAAATGCTCCCTAGAGTCACTAGCCTATCGTCGTCAAATCATCAGTCTCACTACTTTTCACAGATATGTTTTCCATCATCGTGATTACCTTGCTGATTTCCATTTCAAGATTACGAATAGTGAGCGACGACCAAA